ACATCACGAATAGTATATATTCCTTTTGAAAACAGGACAGGATATCTCGTTTATACAGCCTCCACAGCATACTGCGAAGTCATCTAAAGGGAAGAAGCAGCAAGGACAGGCAATCCTTGCGGCGGAGCTCCAGCAGGATTATCTGGCATGCATGAACAACTTTTTTGTACCATTGGGATTCCCAGAGGGCATGGTTCCGTCTATTCCAACCACTTCCAGACCTCTGGATGAGCTCCTGGTTATTGATACCATCTGGTGTATGTCTATCGAAGAGAGACAAACACTGTCGGCATTCTGGGAGGAGAAAATGAGGGCCTCTGCATATAACGAGCACAGACAGGATTACGAAGAATGCCGAGAAGAGTATGAAGCTGCTTGTAAGCGATTAAGTGATGCAGAAGATGAGGTAAGTAGCGGCTCCTATACATGGTACAGTAATTCTGGCAGCTCATAGATTACAGAGTCGACGGCAATTGCTATCAAGAATCGATCTTATTGGGTGCACTACTGATAGTGCGGCTAAACTTACCTCGCTTTTGTCGGTAAGTATAATTTATGCTGTAATTGCCATTCCTTAGTGTTCTCATTTGTTTTTAGACCATAGCACCTAAAGTTTTGATGGTGGAAGAGGCAGGGCACGTTTTTGAGGCACATATCTTGTCTTCTCTTGTGCCATCAAGTGGGTGAACAGTAATCTATTCTTCCCAAGTAGAATTTTAATCATTTCCAAGTACAACATCTTATTTGTATAGGTGATCCGCAGCAACTTCGTCCTACCTTGGCCAATTTTTGTAAGTAGGACGTCCAGCTCCCGGTCTGGGTTTCATTAATTCATTTGCTTTTCAGCTCTCTCTATGGACAGTGAACAAGGCTGTGAATTGTACAAATTTGACCGTTCTTTGATGGAAAGACTGGCGAATGATGGGTTCCCAATGTCCCAACTCAACATTCAACGGAGGATGCGTCCAAGCATTTCCCGCAACATCCGGTTTGTTACCTCCTGTAGCTATTCGTTTGGACTAGTGATTTATGTTTCATCAGGAAAATTCTGTATCCCAACTTGGAGGATCACGACCTTGTCAAGAAGTATCCTCCTATTCAAGGGATGGAACATAACCTTTTCTTTTTTACCCACACGAATCAGGAAAAAGTTGTAGGTGAAAACCCGGTATCCGAAGTTAACATGTTCGAAGTAAGTTGACCTCTCCTTCTAGAAAGAAAAGGGGCTTAAACAGAGACTAGGTCAAAATGATTGTTGATCTCGTTGTGTACTTCCTGGAGCAGGAGGCTTATAGCTCCCCTGGAGATATTGCTGTTCTTTGCGCGTATTTGGGCCAGTTACGAGAGCTTAGATCCGCCTTGAACTCCCTCAAAGTTGCCGTTTCTGTCGATGAACGTGATCAGGAGCCACTGGCAAGAGAGGAAATAGATGGAGAAGGGTATATGGAACAAGTTACCGTGTCCGAGCATGTATGACTTCCTTTGTTTTCTTTGTTATGTGGGCGATGACACTTTCTAGGTTCGACTAGGCACGGTTGATAACTTCCAGGGCAAGGAAGCAAAAATCGTCATTATTTCTCTTGTCGGAAATTCTGGATCGTTCGATAATGATGAATCAATTGGCCTCCTGAAGGTACTTTGGACATCTTCCATGAATTCGGTTTGTCCAAGTGACGTATACTTTTAGTCTTCCAATCGAATCAATGTTGCTCTTTCGCGTGCTCAGCATGGACTGTATATCCTTGGAAATGCTTCTAACCTTCGTCAAAATCCGACCTGGAAGACTATCATAGACGAAATGGGCCAACGAGACCAGATCGGGTTTGGATTTCCCGTGATATGCCCTCGTCACCCAAGTCAGAGGAATATAATTACTACTCCGGGTCAACTCAGTGCTGTAGCACCAGAAGGCAAGCAGCTGGAGACTGATAACGGCTACCATCAGGATTAACAAAACTGTTTATAGGTGGTTGCTGCTTGCCTTGTGATTATCGTATGGACTGCGGCCACAAGTGTCCTTCTATGGTATTTTTAAATGATGATTCTATGTGCTGTCACCGATACTCAAATTTGTCATTTGATAGTGCCATCTCGATCTCGATAATCATCGCAGTATGCGGTGCGATATGCCATGTCTCCGAACCCCATGTCCTCGGATGCATCCGTGCCCTAAGAATTGCTCGGATGAATGTGGCCCGTGCGAATTTCCACTTTACAATGTTGCACTACCTTGCGGCCATAAAGCATCGATTCCATGGTACGATGATCAACTTTTTCTTGCGTCGAGGCTTGACTCGGTTCCAATTGCTCTCTCCCAGCCACCAAGCGGAAAACCTGTCTTCAGTTTTCTGTCGCGAAGAGGTCACAAAACAGTTGTCGCTTTGTGAACATGAAGCAATTATGTGCTGTTCCGACGATCCCCAGAAGCACAAATGCCTCAAGGCTTGCGGAGGAACTATGTCGTGCTGCGAAGAGACGTGCAAGTCCTTTTGTGGGGACTGCACGGAACTTACTCTGCCAGGAGCTCGAGGGATCCAAGTATTTCTCGGTGTTCAAATCAAACGCACCTTGCACAAGTCACATCAATGCGAGCGCCTCTTATTCTGTCAGCACAAATGCGGTCTTGACTGTTCTCGAGATCATGAGTGTAATACATCATGTGCACTGGAATGCCGCCAACGTTGCTCTCACTACAAGTGTCCCAAACCATGTGCTCAGGACTGTGCACCTTGTGCCGAACCATGCGATTGGATCTGTCCTCATTTCCGCTGTCCAGTTCTATGTGGATCGGTGAGTCGTATCATTTTATTTCTTTTCCGTGGTTGTTGACATTGACTCAAGATATGTGCACGTCTACCATGTGATGAACCATGTCACAGCGTTCTTCAATGTGGCCATATCTGCCCTTCAGGTAAGTCGACCTCTTATTCGAGTTTTCAACCAAATCGGACAATGCTTTCTTTATTCCAGTATGCGGTGAGCCATGTCGTCAGCAGAAGTGCATCGAATGTCTTCCCGACGAAGACAAATTGGACATCGTAGATTTTGTCATGCAGCGGACACTGGCAGATATACGTATTGGATCGGAGGATATCAGCGAAAGATTGATTACTTTAAATTGCGGACACATCTTCACAGTGGGGACATTAGATGGTCATTGTCAAATGACCGACTATTACGAGGTCGACGCACTGGGTTCCTACACGGGTATGAAAGCTCCTCCCGCTGAATTTCAGCGACCACCCAGCTGTCCTGCCTGCCGGGCACCCATTACAGCTCGGCGGTACGGAAGGATCCTCAAGCGAGCGAACCTCGACATTTTGGAGCAGAATGTGGCCAGTATGATGTCTCAATGTCTGGTCGAGGTCGTCTCACACGTTGAGACCTTCAGCAATGGTCTGGCGGGGGTGGAAGCTTTGGCTAAAGAACTAAAAGCTGCGCCGGACTTCGAGTGTTATCCTGCGGATGAGTTCGAGGACCTAGTCGAAAGATGGAAAGGCTTTATGACTGAGAAGGCAGACGAAGTCTTAAGTCATGATGTTTTCACTGCTAGGTCTATGGTTACTCTCCATGGTTTGTCGGACTTCGAGGCCAAAACATGGATGGCTATTATTGGAGATTTCCACGCAATCTACAAAAGGGTAGCTAACATTACGAAGACGCGGTCCATCCACGTGCGCGCTTACGAATCCGCTCTTTCTACTCTCTACCGTTTGGAACTTGGACATCTTGTTGCCGAACCACCGTCGAAAACACTCCAGGAGCCCCTAAAAAATATTGCAATGCGCAATGTTGACCAGAAGATCGGGCAACCTCCTCATAAGGCCGATCGTCGTTATCATCTCGAAGCATTCATATTATCTGTCGAGTTGAGGCTCATGTTAGGAAGCATCGCCCGTTCTCGGTTTGAGGCACTTCCAATGATTTCCGACGAACCTGCAGCTCTTCATCATCGTAAAGTCTGGTACTTGTTCATCTTGTTCATCTATCAGTCATGCGTTGTCGACTGTCGAAAGGCTATCACCATCGCTCACGCAACTTCTTCACCACGTCTGGCTGCTCGTTCCACCAGCTTGATGCTCTGTTCAGACTTTGAACAGTTCCGTTTTTTGATGCTGGAGAAACGCCGGCATGCGTTCAAAAGTGGTACATTTGCAGAAGCTCGAGATGGCTTGGTAGCGGAAGTCCAAGCCGACAAGAAGAAGCTGAATAACCGTTTGAGAGAGCTTGAACGGTCATACTTCGCAAGCCGTCCGTCGGGTGGTTCATCCCAGCTCGCTGAAGATCGTCGATGGTTCCATGGGAATTGCGGCGCCAAAGTCATGCGCTGCATTGCAGAATGCGGGAAATTGGAAGATCACCTTACGAAGGACACCGTCTATCGGCCAATAACCCTGCAGGAGAAACAAGACATCGTGAAATCCTTTGGGTTTTCGCATCGAGGTCATTTCTACAACTGCATAAATGGCCACACGTTCGTTATCACAGAGGTATGAACATCGTCTAAACGTACGTTTGACAAGCTCAAACATGTTTTCAGTGCGGCGCAGCGCTCCAGGCTAGCCAATGGTCAGTTCACAAACCAGAACGATTGTTGTCTTCACTAATTTTTTTTATTCTAGTCCCGAATGTAAAGCTCCGATAGGCGGTAGAAACCACGTTCTTGACCCCTCCAATACCCGCGCTCGAGAATATGAAGACATGTCACAGCAGCAAAGTGGGCCTGCAGACCCGTGGGCATGAGCAGCAGGCACTTGAAGAAGAAAGTGAGAGTAAGATTCTCAGTGATTGATAATTACTTTAGTATGTACAATAGAATCAAAATTATTTTGCAGTATATCAGAGAATAAGCCATCGAAGGTCGTATCTTCGTACAAAAGTTTGAGGGCAATCGTAGTCTCACACACCATCTTGCTGAGACGTTACAGACGGGATATTGCTCGACCACTGAGTAAATGTTGTTCCAGCAGCGCGCTCGATGCTGGCATTGCCTCCAAGTTGAGGGTGCTTGGCAACAATTTGAATAATGTACGTCATTGAACTTGCCGATCTCGACTCGCCACGCCAAACTTCTTGACTACTGACCATCACTACCATCAACATCGACGTTTCTCAGCAATGGGCGGCTTTCGCTGAACTAAGCTTTGCTTTATCTACAACGGTAAGTATTTTGGGTGGTCCTTCGCGCGTCGCAAGCTGATATTTTCCTCGCTCCTACAAAGCTATGCGCGAGGTAGTTTCTAGCGTTGAAGTGTATTCCGAGAGCGACTATTTATACATCAAACTTCTTTATAAAGAACACGGCGCCCTTTTCATCGCACAATCACCAAGCCGCACGTACGACCTCGACGCTTTGCAAGGAAAACGCGTCCCTGTCGAATCTCAGCACGTGAGTCTCCCTGCAGACTTGGACTCTCCTACTGCAGCCCCGTTCCCACTCCCAGCCGATTCCTATGTCAAGGGTGTCGATTTTATACGCTACGACCATGATAAACCCAACACGGAGCCACTCGGTCAAGCCCTTATCGATGAAACGAGGGTGTACGAAGATCTTCGTCATCATCCCCACCCCAACATCTGTCAATATCGAGGCTACATTGCAGACGAGACCGACCGCGTCACTGGTTTGTGCCTCCAAAAATACCAGTATATGTTGGCAATAGCTGTCTGGAAGAAAGTTGATATCGACTGGGACGTTGTCATGAAAGACTACAAAAGTGCGATTGATCATCTCCATAGCTTGGGCTGGATTCATGTGGGTAATACTTTCTCGACATGTATGGGGGCGTTTCACTGAGGATTGGTGATAGAATGACATTAGTTCGGGAAATCTCATGATTGATTACAATCTCCGTGGTGGTATCATAGACTTTGGCGGGAGCACGAGGGAGGGAGCGTCTATTGACATCGAAACCCCATTCTGGACCCGAGGGAGTCGTGTTGCAGAGAAGGAGAATGATTACTATGGTTTACGTCGGGCAGAACTATTCATACATGATGGTGGAGGAGGTCCCAATTGGTCTGGATTCACGAAATCCTGATCTAATCCAGTGCTCCAGCTTGAGATAATCCGTACGAATAATTGCGCCGGTAACCATCTGGGGAATCGTTCTTCGCTATACACTTGGGGAACTCGTATCCATATTATCTGCCAGTGTACAGAAGGGTAAATAGGATTATTTATGCACCACCTCATCACCTCGTCCCTTGCACCCATTGTTGGAAATCAGGAATATGGGCATAGAGGAAGGTCGAGATACGGTCGTCGTGGTGGTCAAAAGGATGAATTGTTAAGGTACCAAATGTCACGTAATCGAGTAGTAAGCGGGCCAAATATAGTACGGGTATATACCGAGTTCGATCTCCAACACCCATATACACCACTTTGTGGCGCGTCTACCTCCCTCATCGCGTCGTGAGCATTACTTACGCGTCTCACGTGGTAGGAGGTGATTTCCTGAAAAGGAATGTTTGGCCATGATGCGGACGTGTTATTTGGTCCATTCTCGCGGGCCCTCAAGTTGACCGGTTATCTATCTCTTAGACTCTTACCACCATGCTTGAATTCGCATCTCTCCTTTGCCACCTTCTTCCTCGCTCCGCTTCACCTTGATTCAAGCCGTGTCGCAACTGTATACCTTTCTTTTGGTCCTAGATACATCGGTAGGGGGTTTTGCAGGTTTTCCTCAACGCTATTTTGCTAAATTTTCCTTGGTAATATTATTCTCTCGGGCTTCAGCGATTCGGTATCATTCAAGCTCGATTTTCACAAGGTCGAAAACCCGCGGCGAGCACCGTCTCACATTCTTGGACCCCAAGTGATCAGTTGGGTTGGGGCTATGTGCTGTGACTGAAATGGTGCATGTACGTCTTGATTTCGGTCCGTCGTGGAGCACAGATCCTATATTTGTGAGCGTGATATTTGCTATTGGCGCGGTCGCGTAAACTTTTCATTGCTATCATACAATCCAGGTCGTCCATTTATTCTCTTCCCCTCTGGCGACCGAGGCAATCTCCCTCGCCACGATTCTATTCGCCTGCTCACTCGGATACAGCTCATCGTACCTACATCGACCGTCAAACCGAGAACACCACAAATGGAACACACCCACCACAGGAAACTGTCCTGATCTGTCCCCTGCGCCGTCGTGCAGACAGGAGTCCCACCTCCCTCCGGAAATACACACGACACCACCGCACCCGTCACATTCAGTGGCGCTGTCCCGTTCAAGTACGCTACTGGGTTATCATGCATATCCTGGAATAGCCCGTGTGAGTCAAAGATCCCGATATGAGCACCCGGCACGTCGGGCACCAATGCCTGCAGCATCGCTCGGGACAATGCGTTCCCACTCAGCACCAGCTCGCGCATAAACACGCTCCACTCTGACGTGTTCCGCGCCCCGCTAAAGTACAAGTTTGGGTACGAGTCTGGCGCGTATAGAATCACCTCGTTCAGCGGCACCATCTACGGCACGGTTAGCTGGGATCTATTTCATCATGGTGGCACCCACATTCTGGACTAAAAAGTTCCTCGCCCCGTCCTCGTACAGCACCTTCACCCAATTGACCATACACCCCGCTACATCCACGATCGACGCGTCATTGCTCCCTGTCACCAATGAACCCACTCCCACGTCATTAGTCCCAATCCACAGTGTGTACAGTGTCTCCTCCGCGTTCACCTCGATCGAGCCATTGTGTTTTTCCGCGAAATACAATGGAAGTTGGCCTTCGAATATCGACGGAAACAGTCGGGGCGTCAAGTTGTTGGAGCACGTTGCTCCAGAGCGTGCAAACGGGTACAACGTGAGGTTGGCGTACCCCGCTGCATAGACTGGCCACGCTGCTCCCCTATCACGCACGGGGACAATGTCCGTGTAGCTGTCTCCAAAGGTGACCAGGTTTTTGACTTGAACTGCGAGGGACAGCAGAGGAAGAGAAAGAAGGAGTAGGAAAGTCATCGAGAGTCAATGGAAGGGGCGTTTATGAGGATGATGCCTTGATGAAGTTTCTCCGAGATGGTATCCATGACCATTCAGCGAACAACTCGTCTTTCGCCGCACTACATAGTACACACCTATCCACCTACCGATCATCCCCACTCCGCATCTTCGGTCGTACAGGTACAATATTATCCGAACAACCCCTTCATTCTACTCACTGCCTGTAACTGGGACCAGTGATTCTGGTAGGGGGACGATCCTTCACCGTCACCGTTTGCAGCCTTGTGCTTCCACCACGAGACCAAGTGCCACCTGGCCAGCAATGATCAAGTCCGAAAGCGAATCCGAGAGCGATGAACAAGCCTGGAGCTGTCAATTCGGTGGCGAAAAAATCATTCCCCTATGGAGGACTGCCACCTAGCCGGGTGCGTGCAGTCGCATAAGCCCGTGTAATACTGTAACCGTCTTCTGTATATCAACACGTCTTTTGGGGGATTCACCTCTTACGACGTCCTCGGCGTGGTCGCACAATGCTCACAGACGAACAGGACACCGCTGAGGAGGTAGATGCGCCACAAAGTAGCGTATATGGGTGCGTCTTCTTCCCGGCACCGCTCCACTTTGATTCAAGCCGTGTCGCGTGTTACCTTCTTTTAGTCCTAGGTACATCGGTCTGAGGCTTTGAGGGTTTACTCTCAACGTTATTTTACTAAATTTCCTTCAGTACTACTACTTTTCGCCGCGCTTCAGGATTCATTGTCATTTAGACATCGTTTTGGCAAGGTCGAAGATACACTATTCAACATCACGTTGGGACGACATTCGAGCAACAGCAATTGAGCGAGCATCTTGGGGACAAGAGAATCGAACAACGTCAGTCACTGTTTATATAGCCCTTCGCATACATACGCAGGTAGTCATATGTCTGTGTTTTCTTGTTGTTTTCCTCGTGTGTAGATGAAGAACAGAGAAGCCTGTGATATAGACATCATTCATGAGAGAAATTCGTTAACAGAAACCTGGAAATTACACTGGAACCAATGCAGCACACTATCAGAAGGACTATGTCGTCTAACGCGTGCATCGCAGTAACTCTGTTGCCATTCGAGCTCACTAAAACCACCGTGAAGTCACCGTACAGTCAGATGATAGATAGATACAAAAAGATCGTCGTATTCTTTACGCGACTGTACGCGCTTTACCACGACTTAGTAATAATTCTCTATAGAAGAATGGTTGAAGGACTTCTTCGCCATAGAAATGACGGTGTGACAAAGAATAATGCGATGATAGGCTACGAAAGAGGTGGGTCGCCAAGTTCACTCAGATGATCAGCCTTTGCCCTTGTATTCATCGGACTCGGACTCGGATCCGGACCCGTTTCCAGACTAGCCAGCATTGTTCTCGCCTAGAACACTCTTCATCAATCTTGCCCAACGTCCGATTCCCGCTTCACCAAAGTGGGATTTTATGCTGGACAAGCCGCAGATCGGATGAGATGGCATGAAAGTCTTTTCAACGTACTTCCAGAGTCAGCCATGAACGGATAGGGAAGTTTATCACTCCTTCGGACTGTGAGGAAGTTTAAAACCGAGTATGCGATGTAACAAAGAGTAGATTCCCTATCTGTTAAGTGCACGTTCTCCAAGGACATCTCCCTTCCGTCCACGCTACAACACGTCGTCGATAGCAAAGAAGAGAGATGGCGGCTTCCTTAGTTGTCAAACAGAGAGTCGACACTTCAGAAGGATGTTCGCATCTTTCATGAAAAGCGGGCGAAGCAATAAAGGAGAGCGCAATGGTTGGAACTACTGATGGATGAAGCCTCAGTATATCACCGGAACCAGTCAGGACACACATCAAAGATGAACCAGCCCCCTCACCAAAACACCTATGAATGACAGTGCCAGCCACCGTCGCAATTCATCCCATTACACCTCTAATCTATACACATCCTGAAGTTACGTGAAACCTACACATACAAAGCCCAAACTTCCCCAATCCCCACCATACCTAGCAATCGGCCTCGCCTTATGCGGGTGCCGCCCCGTCTCTGTACATAGATTACGGGTAGCGGTTAAAAAATGCTGAGTTAAAAAAAAAAAATGGTTGGAACTGACATAGGACGACATGTGACCGTGTTGAGCTCGAGGTTAGGGTTCCAGATTTGCCCCTAAGTTCACCGTCCGGAATCCATATTCCTCCGTTTATGGACTGTATACCTCTCTATGGCGTCGTGCTCATTAGTTGAGTACCTCGCGTCCACTTCGAGAAGGTAGTAGGAGGTATTCCCGAAAAGGGATATTTGGCGACGACGCGTTGTTTGGCATGAATCAGGTTCTCTGTCTCCGCGTCTTACCGTCATGCTTGAATTTGTATCTCCCCTTCGTTGCCTTCTTCGATCCGCTTTACCTTTATTAAAGCTTTGTATTAGCTATCTTTCACCCATTTAGTCCCAGAAATGTCGGTAGGAATCTTTAATGGTTTATTCTCCACGCATTTTGCTAAATCTCTCTTCTTTTTTTTCAGCATTCCTTGCGCGTATTTCACTTAGTTCAAACCCGATGTTCTCCAGATTGAAGTTCTGCAGTGAGGGCGTCTCTCTCATTGTGAAGGGCTCGTTAGACGGAGGATGGTCATCTTGCAATATGGTACGTGTCTGCATTATCACAGATGTTTTGAAGTTAATTTTTTTCTTCTAGATCACTGAATCCATCTATTTTTCTTCCAAGTCCCTTCCCTTTTTCTTCATATTCTCCCTCTTCCTTAATATCGATTCACCTCACTGTCTCCACCGACTATATTACCTCTATCTTTAGCGGAACTCGATTTTCAGAGTCTCTCTGCTCAGTCACCACAGTGAGGAGGTCTCGTTTTACGTCGCAACAGCGTATCGCCTTCCGGCGAGCGACTGGGCGAGGAGTCTGAGGAAGAATTGAGATAATACGCGTCAACGAGATGAGAGTGCGTCACATGAGGGGTTATCAACAGTGTTGTACGGGTCAACCCGACCTTGAGCCGAGGTCAAGGTCGCCGGTCACGGAACTTTGGGGCGACCGTCGCTGGTCACCCAACCGAGCTGTGAGGCCGCATATGACGTAGCCTTGGACTTATTTGTATGGACCCCTGCTTGTCACCATGGCCTCGGCATTCCGGTCCCTGGCGTAGGCGACGTCGCCGTGGCGTGGGGAAAGTCAAGGTCATTTAATGACCGTGACCGTCATGACCTCGGTGACGGTCGCGCCCGCACAACACTGGTTATCAAGGACCTATATGGTGGAATGGAGCTTAGCTTGGCGTCACGCAGGTTCTTGCAGGCTATTGCCACGATAATTCGGGATGG